TATATATATATATATATATATATATATATATATATATATAATAATTTCTAATAAATATATTTGTAATAAGCATACAATCTTAAAATGATTTAAACTTAAAATTGAATTCTCATCGATATAGTTTTTAATTTCTGTCTACTATCATATAAAACGAGTTAGTAGATAATAATTGTTGACGTAAGTACCATCGATGATGCCTTAAAGACATACACTTTCTTATAAAACCATAATTTTATACAGTGTTTCTTAATTGTCTCTTTCTTGTAATTATATATTGAACAAAACAGTATTTTAAAAATTTAAATTAATCTATATATCTAATATTTAATTTAATTTGTACTCTAATATAAAAAACAAAATTTTAAAAAGATTTAATAAATATGTATTATGAAATATTATAATAAAATAATGAATATATACATTGATCTTAATAATATCAATAATTAATATTTGATTACTTAGCGAACAATTCCGATTATAATTCGAGATCATTGAATATTCTCTTGAATTCCTTTCATAGAAACTTGTACGTTCGCTTTTTTCTTTCTTTTCGAAGAAACACAAACAAGACAGAAGCAAGTAAGTTTTATAGATATAAATACGTAACGAATATAACTATGTAAATAAATGTGTTATTGCGAATTGTATTTTATTCAGATAATTTTTCTATTATATTTTATATTTTTCTAATTTTTCAAATTTAAATTAATTAAATAAAACTGTAAATTGTATTTCAAATTAATTTAATGATAGTTTTCTCTTTCTCTTTTTGACTGTTTAAAAATTATAGCTACTTTGTTAATATTAATTAAAAGGAAAAAAATTTTGAATTCTGATTCGCAGACTGATAAAAACAACGATCTATTTTTTCCAGGTGAAGAATGAGTGTGGTGAAATTCCCACGGTTCTTGTACAAAATAAGATGGACCTTGTTGATCAATGCGTCATTGATCTGTAAGCCTAACATTTAGTTTGCTTAATTAATAATGCAATTTCAAATAATCTCAAGCATAGCATTGTTTTAGGGATGAAGCTGAGAGGCTTGGTCATATCCTAGGTTGTAAGCTTTTAAGAACATCGGTGAAAGAGGATGTCGGAGTCATGAGCGTTTTCCGGCATTTGGCGTCACGATGTCTTCACGAAATGCGTCGCTGTGATGACGATTATCAGGACGATTTGAGATTATACTCTGCTGGACCTAGATCTCCTTCTGTAATAAGTAACTATTTTTTGCTTTTTTTTTTATTCTTTCGTCTGATGTGTGTAATATTCCTCAATGCGATAGTTATATATTTAATTCTTCAATACTTTTATTCTGCTGTAGATTTATTATTCTATAACAGGAAAAATATTTTGATGAATAAAAGATATAGATTTTATTTTAAGAAATCTAAACAAATAATCTTTTTATATTAATCACACATGAATCTAGATTGCGTTAATTGCAAGATATTAAAATATTTGTAATACAAGTAAAATAAATGTGATGCATTTCGATAAAATAATACATAATTGATTCATTGAACCGATATGAAAATTATAATCATATAATAATAAAATTATTTTTTAGATTAAAAATAAAAAATTAGTATTTTCAGTATTTCAGTATTCTTTTCAATGTAACATTTAATAATTTTCTTAATAAATTACTTTTATAAATTTACTTATAATTTAATTTTAATAAAATAAAGTTAAAAGTTTTTAAAATTGATTCAGCAATTTCTTGTAAACTAAAGATTCATTCGTTTCAGACATGTGTCAGAAGAACATAGAAAATTGAAAATGAATGATATTATTGATCGTGATTTGCATCGGCTATTAAATGTACAAATTTGTATAAATAAGAACAATAGAATAGCATTGATTCACATATAGTCGATTCAATATAGATGTTGACCAATTGTTTTAACCGATAATACGTAATTGTCTAAAAAGAACAGTGTACTTTCTTGGAAACTGCTCGAGAAGATGCATAATGTATTAATTATGTCGGATATGCACCCTTGTATTTATAGCTTGAATTAATTCTTGATTCTTTAAATACATCGTCATCACATTCGTCACTCGTAAGGAACAAATTCAAAATAAATTTCTGTCGTTCTTTCAATTTTTTTCTTTAATATATTTTTTATTTCAAATCTGAAGAACACTTTGAAATCAAAACTATTTTATCATAGATAAAAATGAAAAAAACATTAAATGAGGTTTTTTTTAATTTAAATTGAGATTTAAAAGATTATGATAAATTTATCATTGATATTTTATTTTATTAATCAGTTATATAATATAATGAAATCTATAAGTAAACTAATAATCTAAATTTGTAATTTTTTTTAAGAGAATAATTATCTAAATAAAAAATAAATGAAACAATTTTAAATAATATTTTTTAATGATTTTTCTTTATAAGATTTATCTCAAAAAATTATGAACAATTTAGAAAAGTCTATAATTTTAAATATGTAATATTTTATTTTAATTATTTAAAAGTACCATAAAAAAGAATTTCGTTAAATACCGAAAATATCAAAAATAAATATTCATTAATGTTATTTAGAACTATTATCGAGAACTTTAGATAACTTCCTGTAGAATATAAACATGTATGTACATAAAAAGATATGTCTTCAGATATATATCGCGTGACTAATAGCATTGATCTTGATAATATATAAATGTACATAATACATATTGATTTCTATATTTTATGTTCTATTCGAACATTGTTCAGAAAACGAACTTTTGGTGATATAAAGAACTTGTGACGATTTTGAATTAATTTAAGTTCTTATAAAATAAATATATATTATTTAAAAATGAATTATGTCTGAATCAAAGAAAAAGAATTATATTCTTATATGATTTAATTATACAATAAATATATAACAAAAGATAACAATTAGAATGATATACTTTCATATTAAAACGAAAAAAAAAAATTACAAAAATATTGAAAGGATTTTTAAATTGTTTCACAAGTATATTTGTAAAATTATGCAAATTAATATAATTAATATAATTTATGAAATCTTTACAACATTGAATTGATTTTTAATATCTTAATTATTTAATGTGATTAAGTTTTTTTTTAACATAATTGAACATAAATAAGAGAAAATTATAGAATATAATAATTACTTAAATATAATTAGTTTATTTGTAAACATAAATTCTACAAATTGTTTATAGAATATATAGTATTTACAGAAGTAACAAAATATTTTAATTTTATATATAAAACAATTTGAAGTGTATATTTATGTAATATAATACATTAACATGTGAATGTAAAACATGAGAAATTTTAATAGAAGATATATTGTAAGATCACTATTTTTAATAATTTTGTAATTTATGAAAATATATATATATATATATATACATACATACATATATGCATATATATATGTTATAGGCGCATTTAGTCCAAATGGATCCACATGTAGTCGGAGTATGGGGAATGGTACCATAGTTTTGCGGTCAGGAGCCAAGACAAAGAATCATAAAAAAAGAAATTTTGTAAAAAATGCTTGTAGATTGCTTTAGCCTTTGTATGGATAAATATGTGAAAATTAATGAATGCTTTAACCATGTACAGATTGATATATTCATATTTATAAAGAAGATATAAATAACTTTCATTTCAATATTTCAATGCTTACAAATTGGTTTAAGATTATTATAAAATACGCACAACGTAAAGTATTAAAAACTTAACAGAAAGATTAATGCAAATATTTTTAAACAATATTATTATGTCAATTAATTTGTAATATACACTTGTTTTGATATAAAACTATCACTATATGTCTATAGTTTATTTCAATTACATACTGATTATTTATTATAATTATAAATAAAAAATAAGCCTAATTTAGATAACTTTACTCAAATAATTTTATTAAAAAAAAAAAAAAAAAAAAAAGAAACTTAGGAGGTATAAAGTGCAAAATAAAAAGAAAAATGTAATAAAAAAATAGTCTTTTATACTGAAACATTTTTATACATTGAATTTCTCTTATTGAATGTTAATTTTTCTAAATGTTTTAATATTATTATGAATATGTGTAAATACATTTCTTCTTGTTGAGTACTTCATTGTTTTAAATGTTCCCTGTATGATTTTTTATTTCTCAATCAAATGTATATCTTTTATAATCTTTATTAAAAACATGAAATTTTCATGTTTTTGTAAATATATTATTTGTATTGAAGATGAACATAATGATGTTGACTATTCATATATTGAATTAAGTTAAGCTATAAGTAATTAATAAAAAAAAATGATATAATTTTAAATATCATAATTGAATAAAATAACATGTTTATAATTAAAGGAATTTTAAAGAATTCTAAATTTTTAAAAAATATTGAAATATATATTAATTTATATGTAAACAAATACTGATATAATGGTTAACCAAATATACTAGTTTATAAGAAAGAAAATATTATATTGATGTAAACAATATTTTTTGTGAATGATAATGCAAGTTATTAATAAAAATAAAGCGTTATTATGATTTTTATATCTAATTATTTTTTTAATCTATTTTAATTTATATTAATACCTCAAAAAAATTGTAAAGAATTTACAAAGAAAAATAAATATTATAGAATGCATAAAAAATATATTTATATAAATTTTGATTTATTATATTCTATTTAAATTAAAAGTATTATATTATGAATTTTACTACATAAAAATAATAGATATCAGCAAAAATTAAATTCTTGAATTTTTTTATGAATTATATGGTTATTTTGGATTTCAAACTTATATTAAAATTGAATTTGTATGTATCAGATATAAAGAATATTAAATGTATAATTAATTAAATATATAAAAAGCGAATAAAAATTATATGTCTATGCACTGTATCATATATTAATAATCATTTTAACAACGAAATAATTACATTATACAATAACATGAAATTAAAAAAAATTAATTCTCACATAAATTAAATAACTTTTGAAAATCTTGCCAAACTATATATGAAATTCTTATTCTTTTTTTATAATAATTATAATATAAAGAAAATTATAAATTTTATATCAAATATGATAACTTTATCTACAATAATATAATAAAGTTATAACCATTAATAACAGATAACATATTAAAAAGTCAAATTCATAATTATAATTTATATGTAATTTTCATTAACATTCCTTAATAATCTTTTTATAGTAGGAAGCATTATTAAGTTTAAATAATTAAGATAATTATAAATTATTATAACATAAGTATATCATATGTCAATTGGTAATCACATACGTATAATATCCACACAAAGAACAAATATTATAAAAATACTAATATGTTATGTTATATATTTATATTTTTTAAAGAAAAAAGAAAATAAGCAAGTATTTATTACTCACAATTAAATCATTAAAGATCAATGAATATAAAATGTCATGATTTACACACATTTATATTATTCATTTTCCTTCTTTTCAAATATAGATTCTAATAAAATTATTATTCTTAACATAGTTTTATTTTATTTATATATTATAACTATTTAAAACATACACAAACTTAGTTCTTATTAAAAAATTTTATGTGAATATATTATGTATGAAAATATTTTTTATATTAATTTTATATTTATACTTCCTACCATAATTAATGTTCAAATACAAATGTAATGTTCATAAAACCTTACTTGCACATATAGTAAGGTATAGAAACAATATATATAGAGAAAATAATCCACATTATATGATACTTTTTTTACATTTACCATAAAAATCATCATTGAATTATCATAAAGCACCCTGCCTTAAGTAACTTTTTGTAAATCTCCTTTAGAACAACTATTGCTCATTTAAGGAGTGATTTATTCAGTTTTCTTTAAAATCAATTATCTCCAATATAATTTCATAGTAATTGAATTGTGTGCATTTTATCAATATAATCTAATAATCCTTGTAATCTTTTTTTTATTCGTTTTTGATCATCCATAGTACATCCAAGAATTGCTGTTTCAAAATTTTTATCAGAATGGCCAACATTTTGTGAGGTACAAGCATTCATAAAAGATGCACAACGTTGTCGAGTTCCAGCTGGATCATTACGAAGACCAACAACTAAACTATCAATCAAACCATTTACCTAAATGAATCAATTTATATTGTTGTATTATTATATAGAATTATATTAAAAAAATATATAAATATACTTTGATACTAATTTGATATAAAATATATAATATAATTAATACTTGATGTAATGCTTCTTCTTGAATCTGATCACGTTGAATTTTAACCAATACATCAACTGTTAAACATCGCATAGATAATCTTTCAGCATATCTCAGTACATCATCCTTGTCAGCTATTTTTAAAAATAATATATAATTTTGAATATTCTTTTATAATTTTTTCATAGAAATATAAAAAATATATAACATATTCATTAATTATATTTCTAATGTACTCATATAATAAAAAGAATCTTTTTAAGATATTTCTAGATACATTAGAACTAATCTTTTATTTTCAAAATATAAGTAAGATTAATACTGACTCTCTTCTAATGCACTAAGAATTTCATTGTTTCTAAGAGTATCTAAGGTTGTCAAGAGAGTATCCCTTTCTTCTTCAAGTCTCCAAGCATCTTTTCTCAATTGTTCTACATGTACTTCGATCTGATCAAGAAGGCTGAATAACCTGTCTTTTGGTTTTGTTAAACCATCACAATCCGCACTTTCCATTATATGTGGTAATGGACTATCCATTCTTTTTTTAATTTTTGAAACAATATTTCAACAACACAATTTCACGTAATTAAAAAATATGAAAAATTGATTTCAGTTGCAAGTTACAATGCAAATGCATTAATCGCATACAAATATATCCTCGGACTCTCGTTGCGTATACTGTACTCTTGTAATCGTGATATGAAAAGATGACTGACGGAGAATGTACAGAACATCTATATATAATTGACAACTGAATTATCAATTAGATAGCGCCAAATTCAAAAAATGTCTTTCCTCGTAATTAATTTAATAAATTTTATTATAATATATAACAATATAAAAAAATAAAATTTATAATATGTCTTAATAAACGATAAAATTGAATTATATTCATTATATTATATTTATGTTTATTTTCAAAATTAAAATTATATTTATTTTAATTCAAGCTATTTATTTAATATTTAATTTTTATGATTTTAAATAGAAATTTGAAATTAATCAATATTTTCTAATATTTATATACATATTAAAAGAGGTTTTATATATTTTATATAATATTTTATTTATAAAATATTTTATAAAATATTATATCACTAAATAAAATAATTTGAATATCTTAATAAAAGAAATTATATTTATGATTGAAAAGTAATTTTTAATTATTCTATTTTGAATGAATATAAAATATTTTTACTATTGTATAAATATAGGTTTGTGTATATATATATTGTATACATATATAAATTTTTAATATCTTATATAATAAAATATTATTTTATATAATAAAAATCATTTATAATGTAAAATTAATTGATTATTTTAATTAATAATATTGTTATTTTTAATTTTATTATATAATTTTATATTTGACAATATTTTGTTGCTGATTTGATATAATCTCTTATAAAAGTATGTTCTTTTTCCGGTTATAAGTTGATAAGGTTCGTACTGATTTTTCAAATAATTCTTTAAAATCCGATTTTCTATTAGAAATCATTTTATTTTTTAGTCGTATAATAGTTATATATGATTTAGATATAAATGTTCTATTTTTATTCTAGAAATTTCTAGAAAATAATTGTGTAATAAATATTTTTCTTGTTTGTTCCAGGTTCTATTTATATTTCATTCTTAATCACAATGGTGAGTATTGAATATTTATTATTAACATAAAAATTTTTAAACTGTAATTACAATTAATTTAATTTTTATTTTGCAATATACGATATTATAAACATCATAAACATTAATAGATATATTAAAAATATGATAAATTAATATAACATAACCTCTACGTTAATATCTGAACAATGCAATAACGTATAAAATTTTTTTAGCCTCGAGAAATCAAAGAAATCAAAGATTTTCTCTTAAAAGCTAGAAGGAAAGATGCAAAATGTGAGTATTAAAGATTCTTTTATATTACTTATAATATTATACGATTATTATAAATATATATATATATTTTTTTTATTATAAAAATTTAGCTGTGAAAATCAAGAAAAATGCTGACAACGTTAAATTCAAGGTTCGATGTTCACGATTCTTATATACTCTTGTTATTACAGACAAAGAAAAGGCAGAAAAATTAAAGCAATCATTACCTCCAGGTATTTATTGTTTAATAATAAAGAATTATATAATTTTTTGGTAATAAAAATAATATATATTAAAAATAATAATTATATTGAATTAAAATTTTTAATAAATATTAATATATTTTTAGGTCTTCAAGTAAAAGAAGTAAAAAGAAGTGAACGTATGTAATTGATAGAATAAACTAACTTTTTAACATATGTTGTTTATTTCTCTTATTATTACATAAAAATGGGTTTAAAAATAATGAAAATTATAATCAATAATCAAAAATTGATTTCTTAATTTCAAAATTTAAATCTATTTAATTTTAGTTTTAATTTCAATATTGTAAGATTTTAATTAGAGAGAGATAAAATGCATGGTTGATTTAAAAAATGCTTTCTTCTTTTAAACATATGTTGATAAATATTTTTTCTTTCTGCTGGTGATGTAGACATTAATTTTAATTCGTCATATGTGTCTATACATATATTTCCACTATTGCACATTGGTCTTTGATCATAAGGATATATGCGATGATAATTAAATCTTATTTGACATTTCCTTGTAGTATGTTGTGTTTGTTGTTTTAAATATCGTTTTAAAGAACAATATTTTCTTTGACATAATCGAGTTTGAAGTTTCATGTATTGTGCAAATAATATTGCTAATTCATCATAGGTTTCACTTATTTCTGATTTATGATTTGATACAGTAAAAATATTTTCATTATTAGAAAATAATTTTTTAGGTGTAGAAATAGATGTTTGTTCTGTAGTAAAATTATTTAAATTACAATTAATAAAATTATCGAAATTGTTTTTTGTTAATGAAGTACTGAAATTTTTATCTGATTTTGATATTTTTACAAAACTTTTAGATTCTTTTATTTCATTTTGTAATATGTCTATTGATGATTTCATTTTTTGTTGTAATTTTTTTGAATATGCACATTTATTTAAGCTTATTTGCGATTTTAATTCTATTGATCTGTCTTTTTTAATTGAATTACTTTTATTTATAGTACATATAGAAGTATTTTCGGTTTTTGAATTTATATGTAAAATTTGATTTTTTGTTTCAACTATATTAGATGTATTTGATAATGTAGAATTTGTATAAGAATTGTTTGATCTATATAAATATTTAAAATAATTAATCTATTATTTAAATTAGATTCAATAGCATATTTATAAATTATTAAAAACCTCTTTAATTTGCCAAGAAAAGTATTCGATAAAATATCCGATTTATCAATTGCAGAATCTGAGAAATATTTTGAATCACTAGTTAAATTTTTTGTTAACAAAGAATAAGGTGAATAGCTTGATTTAGATATGGAAATTTTGTATTTTTGTGTATTGTCACTAAATGAATCTGTATTTTCAAATTTTAATTCTATCTGCTTGGAACTAATCTGTCTTTTAGAATTGTAAATATCTCCTGAATTCAATTTACATATTAATAATTGTTCATCACTTTGTCTATCAGATTTTGAAGATATTGCTAAAAATTTAAAATCTGTGTCTGAGAAACAAATATCTTTGTCATTCTAGAACAAAAAAAAATATATAATTAAAAATTACATTTAATATAAAATTAAATATTAATCAAATGATACCTGAAGTGAATCTTTACAAAGATTTTTTATATTTTGAGAACTTAATTCATTGTATTTATAATTTTCAAAATCTTTAATATTCCATTTATTTGATATTGGTTTAGGTACATGTTTGTACTTAGTACAAGCTGATGAAAAACATGAGAAAGACATTTTCCAAGATAATTGTTTTCTTAAATCTATATTTTTAGTAGATGTTACTATTTTATTCTGATTTGGAGCAAGTAATTTTTTCTTTTCCTAATCATAAATTTTTGTATATGTATATTTATAAAAACTAAATTATGATTATTTGCATATAACAATTTTTAATATATTTTTGTAGTACTTGTAAAGGAGTCTTCAATTTATATTTATTTTCATTTTGTTTGTTTTTTTGTTCATCATGTTTCATGTTAAGTTTTGAATTACGTGTATAAGATCTTAAAAAACGTTTTTTATAAATTTCTTTTATCTTAGAAAAGATGCCATCACTATCTTCATTTCGCCGAGTTATATATCTTTATGAATATAATTTTAGTATAGTAATCAATAATTAAATATGCATGTATATATATATACATATATATATATATATATATATATATATATATGTAT